ATTGACCAGTACGCCAACGTCTCTGGCCATTCGCCGATTTTGACAATTTATTAAACATCTGGCAACAATTCTGCACATTTTAATACTAATATCAATAGGGTTGGCAATTTCCACCCCAGATATTTCCCTCCTTAAGACATAAACCAAATTAAAAAAGCTTTCAATTTATAACACTTTGTAATTAAGTGCAAATAATTATATCTACAAATAGTGCAAAACATTTATTTATTGTTTTTGTATAATTTAAATCTCGTTTGAATTTGAGTTGCTCATTTAAATGCTATTCATTGCTATTCAGATATACACTTCTTGTGTACTCTCGCTGTATTTAAAATTGAAATTGGTGAATTTTACATTTTATTTTAAATATCTTAAAATTTTTAGTTCACAAAAACATTGTCTATAATTATGTTATACTTTATAGATTAGTACAGTTAAGATTTTAATGGTTTATACTGAATAACATGAGAGTCCGTGTAATTTGTTTGCATTGTGTCTAAATTGTATAGAAATAATACAATTACCACAAAATTTTAAAAATATATAATGCAATAATTTTAATAACTTTAATGCATTTAAAATGCGTGAATGAAGGGATGGACGAAGTAAACTATGGTTGTTGGCAATCAAACCCAGATATCGCTAAATTCATGAAAGACCAGAATATGACAAAAGTAAATCAAGTGGAAGAGTATTATGTGAGAAAAACATTAACTAATGTTAAAGATGTTGGCTATAATACAATGCTATGGCAGGACCCGGTTGACAATGGCGTCAAAGTAAGTTTTATCACTTAATTTACTGCTAATAAATTTTAAAATGTATTAATTTTAATTTATTGATGCAAATAGTTGTAAAATTAAATTTTAGTATTGCATCTATGCAACTGTTTGCGAAATTAGCTTTCATAACTTCTTAACAATTGATGGTCATAACAATATTGTGAAATTGTTTTCAACTGATAACATGAATTATATTATATTATACAATGTATAGTATTATATAACATGATAATTGTTATATGATTGTCAATCTTTGTGAAAATAACAAATAATACAAAATAATAAAACTGTTAAAATAATCTAATCGTATGACAGCTCGACAAGGATTCAATTGTAGTGATTTGGAAGGACACCTATCTTGACAGCAATTTAGATCTCTGGCAGAACTATATCTCCAAAATCGCTAAGAATGGTAACACATATTTTTTGATGGGTAAAGTATTATTCAATTTTAGCATATATTTGTTTATACGATAGGCTACCAAATGGTATTATCAGCATGTTGGTATCTTAACTATATTTCCACACCATATCCGGACAAGGACTGGGAAAAATATTATTTATGTGATCCGAGACATTTTAATGGTAATGCAATTTATTTCTAGCTATAAAATATATTTTTATCTTGAAATTGAATTAAAAGGTACCGAAAGTGAAAAGGATTTAGTGATTGGCGGAGAAGTGTGTATGTGGTCTGAGTTTGTGGACGGCACTAATGTATTGTCCCGATTGTGGTAATATTATAATATAATACCAAATTTATATAGTATTCACTTTTAGTATAAATATAATGCCAATTGAAATGCATTTTATGATATTTAAGGCCTCGAGCATCGAGTGCTGCCGAAAGGTTGTGGAGTAATAGTGAGAGCACTCAAGATGTGGACACCGCTAGACTAAGACTGGATCAGCACAGGTGTCGAATGCTTAGGCGAGGAATACCGGCCGCACCCATACTTAATGGCTATTGCGGTGATTACGAGTGGGAAATGAATAATCAAGAAAAGTTGATGGATTTGGGGGATAGGGTTAGGCTTTGAATGATACCTTAATTAATTTATGTATTATTTCAGTATTAAGTTAACGTTCATTTAGTTGAATAAAAGTAATTTGTGCATTCATTGATGTGTTGCTTAATGTATTGGCTACAGGGTGTTCAGGCGACAACATGTCCCAAAGTAATTTGGTGGTCATTTAAAAGGGATTATGATACTTGCTCTAAAGACACCAATATATAATACCGTATATAAAGAATAGGTAAAGAATATATTAAACACATTTTATTAGTTTAGTGGTTATAAAATTGACATATTNTTTAACTTTGATAGTTTTAAATAAGAAAAATATAGCATGATAAGATATTTTGATGTATGTTTAATACTGTATAAATAAGAAAAAGATTGATGGTAACTTACTATCGGCGACAACTCTCACTTTACTGATCGTTGCTTCGATATTATCTCGTATTCATTAAACCACTCCTGAAATACCACTAAAATTCAAAGCCAGTGATAAACTCTTCTGAGAATAAGATAAAAAACATATTTTCATACTTTTGGACAAAATATTTGCTTTTAAGATATATCAGACGAATGTTACTGTAGTTACAGTTCCCATAAGTTTTTGTGATATTCGCCTCGTCTTTGATATAAATTTCAAATTCTTAGTCAGTTTTGAAAACATTGGCTGAGTTTTGGAAAACAAAATGATTTACAAAACAATCATTTGTTTTTCAATATTTGCAGTTTTTTGCCAAATACTTTCAATTAATGGATATCTTTATCCAATAGAATATCGCTTACCATTAAAAGTAAGTTAATGTAAAAGTTTTACATTTAATTAAATTGCAATGTAAATAGGGTAATGTTCCCGAACCGGGCAATCCTTGGCCTTTACCCCAACAATGGGTTCGATCGGCAGATGTGTCGACATTAGATCCAAAAGGATTTCGTTTCGATACAAATATGAAATCGTGCGATGTTTTGGTGAATGGGATGAAGAGATACAGAGATATCATATTTCTTGATCAAAGAAGTGTTAAGTCATCACAACATCCAGTCTTGAAATCAGTCTTCATTGATGTCCAACACATAAATGATTGCGATTTTCCAAAGCATGAAGAGGACGAGTCCTATACGTTAAACATAACACTTAACGGTTCGGCAAAGATTACATCAGTTACTGTTTGGGGAGCTCTCAGGGCTTTGGAGACATTCAGTCAATTAGTCTATCAAAACGAAATAACAAAAGAGATTTCAGTCAACTCAACACAAATTACTGATTTCCCGAGATATAAGTTTCGAGCCATGCATTTGGACACTGCCAGACATTTTGTACCCAAGAAAGTCATATTAGCCAATCTCGATGCTATGGCTTATAATAAATTTAATGTATTTCATTGGCATATAATCGACGACCAGTCTTTCCCTTTTGAAAGGTTTGCAATGTCTATACATTTGTAACAAATATTTATTAATATAGTATTAGATAACAATTATTATTATTTTTACTAAAATATTAAATTAGTTTATATTAATCATAATAATTGTATTTATATTTAATAGCATACGTTACCCGGAATTGACCAAAAAGGGAGCGTATTCTCCAAAACACGTCTACACACAGAAAGATGTTTCAGATATTATTGAATATTCAAGAATGAGAGGAATCCGTGTCATACCAGAGATCGATTCACCAGGTATTCAATGTCTACATATTTTGAAAAACTTCAACAAAATTGAGATTTAATTATTAAACCTTAGGCCACACACACGCAATGGCCAGAGCTTTTCCCGAACTGTTAACTCCCTGTTATGGCCAAAAGGATAAGCCCTATACTCCTCATTATCCGGACTATTCAGCGTCAGAGCTCTTAAATCCATTGAAGAATTTTACATTTGTTTTCTTGAAAGAACTCTTTAAAGAGTTTAAACAAGTATTTAAAGATGATTTCGTTCACGTGGGT